AGAGAGAGAGAGAGAGAGAGAGAGAGAGAGAGAGAGAGAGAGAGAGAGAGAGAGAGAGAGTTTGGTTAACTTTTTTAACCATGTCTGTCTTTTTTTAAGTACTTCAGCTTTTGGACAATTTTAAACAGAGAATCTGATGTTTCAGACTTTTTTAAGGAAGTATTATCACCCTTAAGCCTAGAATCTTCTAACCTAAAAAAAAAGAAGACTGATGGAGACAATCCCAGCCATTAGTATTCCACATAAATAACTGCTCAGTGTGAAACACTAGACAAAAGCCCAAAGGAATAAAGCCTTCTCTGGGCTCTGTGTTTTGAATGTTTTTATTCTCTCCATTCTTGTCACCTACTTTCATTCATTCAAATGAACAAATTTCCATTTTAACCACACTTGGCCAAATGCAACAATTTATTGAATTGTAGAACAATAGGGTGAGAACAGATTTGAAATATTTTTGTAAAGGAGAATAGGGAAGATAAAATTTTCTGCAAAATACAGCCATCCTGCTGAAAATTTTCAGGTATTAATGAACTCTAACCCATGTCTTTTACCTGATAATAAAATCAAGGGGAAGAGGTTTGGAAGATTTATGATTTGCTGCTTTTTCTCTGAACTTTTAAAGTTTTGTGAAAAGTGTGAGAAGGGAGGATCCAAAAATACAAACTCAAAACAATGGTGGTATTGTATTGCACTGTACTGCAATTAAGTACCAAAGAGGATTCATGTTGGAGTCTTCACAACTTTCGTAGGATTTCTTTGCTTCATTAGTTACTTACAATTATTTAAACAGGCAAATTCCATTGAGAATCGCTAAGCTTTTTTTCAAGGGAGGCATAGGCCCGAAGGCAACATATTGTACATGTTTTTTTGTATGAGCTGCAAAGGGGTGTAGCTCTGCCATGTTCAAAATATCTTATGTAACAAACTTTTTTCTGACAATAGTCATAAAGTTGACACGAGTGTCACCAGTTAGTTCTCAAACCTTGTCTAAATTTTACCTTGCTCGTCTCCAACCCATTTCAAGAGCACTACGGCTCATCTACATCTGAGCTGTCCTGACAAAAAAAAAAAAAAAAAGGAAAATATCCAGGTCTAAAAACCACACTGATGATAAAAAAAAATAATTATTGAAAAGTTGGTCTAAAACTACTACTTCCCCTATAAGTTGAAAAGTGCAGATTAAAATCATAAATGTGGCAGAATGCCAAAGTTGGAATTAAAGGAGCCTATGTGGGTGCATGTTATGGCCCAGCTCATTAAAGCCACAACATCAGTGGAAACACGACACAGGATGCCAGTTTTAAACCTTAAGAAGYCCATTTATTAAAGTGTCTAGGAGTAAAAAGCTGTGAGTGGATGTCTCCCTCGGTGCTCCATACAARGGATGGGCCGAGCGTCTGTCTCACCGCCTGGACCACTTCAGATGTGTGGTCCAGTACCAGATCTGCCTCCACACCAAGGTCTCTGACTGGTCACTGTCCTGTCCATTGTCGTGCTCCCGGTAGACCTTCTTGTCCACCATTTAACGTCCTCTCTCGGAGTCGTCTCCTTCCAGAAGAAAGCTGTTGTTCTCGTCCCAGTCTGTGCATCAACATTCAGTCAGTTCRAGCCTTTTTGCGCCACCAATCCATCCTCGTACACCCCTTGGTCCTTATGAAGATCGCCAGCATGCTCCACACCTCCGTTGGAGTCCCGCTCTTTGACGTCTTCGGATCCCAGCATACCTGATGCCTTTC